AAAAGTCTAATGGGAAGATGAGGCCTCTATTTTTTTTTTTGCTGTCTGACTCCATTTTTTGACATATTTTAAAGTTAATGCTTGACCACTTTATACGTTGGAAAACTAGGGTGATTTTCATGGCATCCTATTAACACTCTATGGCAAGGAATCCAGTAAAGTTGAAAGCAGAGACACTACCTGATGATCTACCAATTATTATTCTTTTTTTTTTTTTTAATTAGTTGGCTTTGAACATCCTTTAATTGAACAATGGGATTTTTACAAGAAAAAGACAAATTAAAAGGTTAAGGCAAGAGAAAAACCAAAGTATCGCCTGCTGTGAGGCATGCTTAATTTTATTTCCAAGCCATTCTGCTAGCAAAAGGTCCTTTTCTGCCACAAATTATATATACCACAGTACTTGTAGGAAGAGAGACGGCAGGCCGACCAGCCTTTGCTTGTGTAACCTGAATCATTCAGTAATTGTACCAAAATTTGAGATATTATTATATTGTTTAGGAATAAAAAGAAAGCAGGAAGAAAGGGAAAAAAAAAAAACTTCTCTTTTGAACCTGTAACTTCGTAATACATCATGTGCATGAGAGGTGATGAGATGGTTAGAGAGATATTTCAGAATGGAAAAATGGAAAAACAAAGCGATTTCGTTGATTTAATTTTGCACAACAAAGTTGGAGAATATGTACGGACTGGGAAGGTGTTGCAGGCTGCAGGAGAGAAATTTTAGAGAAAGATTCGGGGCAGAAGGGGGATCAAGATAAAGCAGAAGAAAGAAAAACCAGGCAGACTTGAACATTCAACAGAAGAAGAAAAAGACAAAATTCACAGGACAAGATACTTCAGGCAGACATTTCCCCTTCAAACTCTCCCCCAAAACACAATCTATAACCTGTTCCATCTACGTAACTCTAAGTAGATTATAAGACCTAAAACCACTTACGAATTTTGGATTTTTTAGGTATTTATTTATCGTTTATAAAAACTTATAAAAAAAAGTTTAACTAGTTTTTTTTACCGGCAATTTTTTATTATATTTTTCATAATTTAAAATTTTAATTCATATTAATTTTTATATTATATATCAATAAATAAAAATATTCCTAGTTATCTATAATTTATATTTTAAAATTACAAAGGCAGTCTATATATAAATTATTATGAAAGAATTTAAATAAATATTACGAAAACTTTCTAAAAATAAAATTACATACAAATCTCAATGAGAAAGTCAATTTTTTATTTACAATTACGTATACTTGTAAAAATATGTATTATATTAGTATGAAAACTAAGATTTACACATGTAATATATCATAAAAAAAACTTTTCATGTTTGATTTTAAAACTTTATCATGTCAAACTTTTGTGACGAAAATCTAATTGTTCAATTTTTTATAAAGAAGAAAATATTGATTGTAAGAAGAAATCATAAATATATATTTAATAATTATTTCATTTTTATAAATTTTTAAAAATTTAGTTTATCAAAGTTTAATTTTAAATTAAGATAAAAAAGTGTGTAAAATTTTAAATTTAAATATGTGTGTAATTTTAAATTGAGATAAAATATATTTCTCTTTTATTTTAAATAATAGAAAATTAATGTTTCAAAGAAAATTCATAAGAAAATAAAGGCAAAAAAATTGGTAAACAATAGTGATTCAGCCACAAATTTTATTTATTTAAATTTATGTAAATATTGATTTAGACAGTGCATGATTTTTTATGATTCCTAAGATTTAGGGATTTAACTTTCAAAAACTATTTAAATTGTGTATTTCATGTATATGGGTAAGAGTGAGATATAATATATATTTTTTTAGGTTTAAATTATGATAAAACTTATATACTTTGAAAATTTTGGATAAATGTAATTGTAAAAGTTTAAAATTTTTACAAATTGAATAATTGATTGAATAAAGTTATTGAGAACTATACTCTGTGTCAATAATATAAATTGTCCACCTAAGCATCCACCTAAATAAATCTTATCAGATTTCTATGTATGTTGTAATATAATATTATATATAATATATGATTAAATATTAAAAATTCTCATATCTTTAAAAAAATAGAAAAAAAAAAAAACCTTCAAAATTTTGTAGTTTTTAATTTAGGGTATCACTAGAAATATCAATTTTATCCAAATTCAATAAAAAATCTAATATCAATATTAAATTTTGAGATGGAGATAAAGTTAAATATGATTTAAAATTTTTTATTGGTAATATAACCTATGTCTACTAAGATTTTATATATTTTTAATAAATTAATTTTTTATTTATTAATATAAATTTTATTTTAAATTTATTTTTATTTATTAATATAAATTTTATTTTAAATTTATTAAAATTAATATATCTGTATTTAAAAGGTACATATTTATAAAAAATTATTTAAATATAAAAATAAAAAAAATATTTATTTTATTTTTATTTTTTAAAAAATCACAAATATATAAATTATTTATACTCATTAAATATTAAAAAAATAAAAAAAAATGTAAAATATCTATTAAATTTGAACACAAAAATAAATATAATAAAAAAAACTGAAATTAAAAAAAAAAAATCTCATCCCACCCCATTCTCTCCCCATTTATATCGCTAATATCCAATTAAAAACTTGGCTAAAACCAGCCATTAGTGCTAGATAAAAAGGACTGATATAATATATACATATAGGTTTATGGAATGGGGAAGAGAGGGTAAGGCTAGGATTCTAGGTACCATGTAGGGTGCTTTTTTTTTTTTTGCATGGTTTTGGTTTCTGTTATGATAGGTTGAAATTAGTAAGACCTTACCAGCTATGGGTGTTTCTTGATTTGGGCTTTTGATTCTGATTTAGACGGGTCATGGCTATGAAATAGAATTATTAGTATTATAAAAGTTGCATAAACCCATTTTGTTTTATTTGACTTTTCCTTTGGACATTCTGTTGCATTTGTTCTGTTGAAATCAAGATCAAGATAAGAATTGCATAAGATTGATTGTTCTAAATTATGCACTAATTGACGTTTGAGAGCAACTTGGAAACCAGAATTTTCAGCTTAGACGTCCCTGTAAACAACACTGTATCTAGGGACAAAAGTGTAATGATTAGTACAAAAATTCATCAGGAAATCATGAACAATATATATTGCCAGAAATCATTTACTGATGATAAAGGGCGTACATTTCCTTCTCACGGACACCTCGCGTGCCCTTAGCCAGTTTCTGAATGCAGACCATCAATTTCCAAGTCAGTTCTTAATCATAAAGCTTTTCTTCCCTTCGAACGATGGAAGTGAACAGCCTTTTTAGCCCATCACCTTCATTTCTTTTGTAATCTCGCTCTATGTGTCTTTATTAGGGGTTATTTATTTTGGAGGGAGGCTTTTGATGAGACAAGAGCAACCCCTTTGTCTTAGATCCTTTATTGTTTTTTTTTTCCTATGGGGTTAAGGGGTAAAGGACAGTTTTTGTGCTGACAAAATTTGGGACACTGTAAATAGACTGCGGTGCTGCGGCTGCTGACACTGGATCTGGCCAAACATGCTTCCTGCTATAGCTGCAGTGCACCATGCACCAAAGGGCTGCCCTGCCCCTCTCCTCTCCATCTCTCTCCCATGTGATCCTTTGCGGTGTAACCTTGCCTGTCTGCCTGCTCTACAGACAAAGTAAAAAAGTCCAGTGAATCTTGCTTCAGATATTTAGGTCTAGTATAACGATCTTGTGATGGGAAAAGTTGGGTTAGAAAAAAAATTGCTTTTAAAAAATTATAAAGAATTAAAATGTTTAAAATAGATATGAGGTTGGTAAAAACATGCTATTTGTGTTAAAAATAATTTAGTAGATATTTGATCATTTTATTTTTAAATTATAAATTTCAAATCTTAATTATACTTTTTAATTAGTTTTTGTGATTTGTTCCGAAAAATACTTTTAACACAAATCATAATATATTTAACATTATTTTTGTGTTCAAAGATTGTGTTTTGAAACTCAAAAATAATGCTAAACGAGGTCTTAGAGCAAAACAAAGAATGAAATTGACAAATTATTATAAATATATAGTAGTATGTATACAAAGAAAATGGATAAGATGAATTTTAAATACAAGGAGAATAGTACAATTAGTATTAAGATATGGAGAATAATACTACTAAAAATATATATATTATTACTGATGAGATGGAAAATACAAATAAATCAAAAAAGATGATATCGGAAAAAGAATAATAAAAAAGATAAAATGGTGTGTGTTATTTTTATTATGCTTAACTTTTATATTTATAGATAAGTGATAAGGGATAATCAAAGATGATAAAAATAATATTAAGTTGATGTGGTATTAAGTATATCAGATTGATTTGATATATCAAATCGATTTAAATAACAAAAATATTTTTTATTATTTACTTAAAACTTAAAAAATATATATTATATCTTTTTAACCATCAAATACTTTTAACAAATATTAAGATACAGAGAATAGTGCTACTAAAAAAAAAAAAAAACCATTACTGCTGTCTTCACAAGAACAATGGCTAAGCCAACATTATTTGTATTTGTATCGTTTAACATGTTTTGGGCTTACCTATCATCCGCCCTGCCTCGCCTGCTCTCTCTGTCCCTCGCAAATCACTTTCACATTATATACAATATTATAATATTTGAATAAGTATTTTCAGCTTATGATAATTGTTTAAATAATTATTATGTATTTATAATTCAAAATAAAATAATTTTCAAAAAAATAATTAAAAATAAATATAATTTGATTAATTTGATTTTGAATAATATAATTATATTTACATAAGTATTTAAGGTTTTTGTACTTCTTTAATGCATTTTGGAATTTAATTATGATGGTTATTCCAACAAATATAATGTTAATTGTATTATTCTGTTCTAAACTTTTATAAAAGTGGGTTCTTCATGTATAGATACAGCACACAAAAAAAAACCATTTTTCTATTGAAATTTATTGATATGGAAATGTCTCGTGCAAGGGAAAAAGCCAAGGGCATGGGAAAGAACACTCACCAGTCACCTCCTCCATCCTACCAAATTTCCCATTCCAAATTGAGAAATGTTTTTGGTGGGGCAAAGGGCATGGGACACAAATCTTGGGCTGGTTTTACAGGGTTAGATCAAGGATCTATTATCATGGACCCTGATTTCACCACTCAGGAAACCAAAATCCCATGATTAACCCAAGGAAATGGGTCCATATAATCCTTGCTTTGCTCTGTGAGAGGACAGAATCAAAGAAGAAAAATGAAAGTTACTTTTTTTTTCAAGTATTTCTCTTTGTCGCCCATTTCTATTTCTCTCTCTTTAAAGAGTAAAGACAGGTCTTAAAATTTTTCTCTCTCTCCATATGCAAATCAAATAATCAATCACCCAAAGTTAGCCCCCAACCGTTGAAGCCCGCGTGGTGTCTATCTCTTGCTGTGCCATATCTGAGAAGGTGAAATCAAGAGTATCTTTGGTATTAAAGAAAACCTTTAATATCACCAATCTGTTTTCTCAACAACCTGTTTGACCTATTCCTCTTATGAATTGTCTTTTGGTGTTTGTCAAGAAATTAAGATCATATTTGGAAAAACCCTTAGGTTCATTGCACAAGTTCTGGAAACGTCTGCCGTCCCCTGTTTCTTTTGAATCTTCACAAAAAGACAAGAAATTGAGCATAGGGGAAAACCCCATGTTTTGATTCATTACCTTGATCCTTCAAAAAGGGGGAAGTTATCACAAATACCCAGATTCAAAAAAGCTTTCTTAGGCCAAACCCTAAATTTTTTGTACCAAATCTTCGGAAAACCCTATGTTTTGAATTTGGGGGAAGCAGAAGTTGGATCAAGTCAAGAATTTGGAAGATACCCATTTGACCCTTTTACTTGAGTTCTCAAAAGAAGAAGAATTTACCACACCCAGATGTAAAAACCACCCTGATGTTGACAGCCTAGTCCAAAGTTCTTAGACTTTGAATGCTGAAGAGGCAATAAGCAGGAATTTTGGGTCATCTCAAAGCCAAGAATGCTGCAAAATCCTTAATTTTAACCCTCCAAAAAGGCTTTGAAGTTGCTTAGCTTTTGTTATTATGGAACGGTCATTATCACGATTGGTGCTCCTAAGTTTCGGCCTTTTGTTTACGCTTTTTGCTGATTTTGTTGAGTCACAACCATCTAATACAAGTTCACCACCACCACCACCACCGCCACCTCCACCTCCACCTCCACCTCCACCTCCACCTCCATCACCATTCCCGCCTCCTCCTCCTCCACCTCCACCACCACCAACACCACCGTCGCCGCCTTCTACGCCTCTCTCAGCGCTTTCTCGTCCGCCACCGCCTTTTCGTCCACCGCCGCCACCAAAGCATCACAATAATACAAAGCAGCCACCACCTCCTCCACCACAATCGCATGATCTCAAGCTCAATACAGGGAAAAAGATTGGACTTTTGTTCATTGGTATTGTTATCATCTTGCAGATTAGTGTTGTTGGGTTCTTGGTTTTCAAGAGAAAGCAGTTGTTTAAAGTCAAAAGCACATACGAGACTTTCTCTTCTTCTTCTTCTTCTTCATGAAATTTCCGCCAAGTTCTTCAGATACTTTTGCCATTCAATTCTTTTTGGAGATTTCTTTCATTGGATTGAAAAAATTTTTTTGATGAGCTGAGAAAGAGGATTACGTATATTGCGGATATGGGTCCTTTGTGAGATCCTCTGTAAATGGGTAATTGTTGATTGACATTTTTCTCTTTTTTTTTTTTTATCAATCTTCTTGTTGTTGTATTTCCTGTTGATTCTTGCTTTGGGGTTCTTTAGTTCTGACCACACGGTTTGTAATCCAACCTAGAAGAAAAGCATTTTAACTTTTGCTTCATCTGTTCTTCACCTTTTTCTACTAACTTGTTTGACACTGTAACAATGTGAGCAATCATGGAAGTAAGTCGATGAATTGGTGTACAGTTTCTATCGTCTTTTCATTGTTTATCTTTTACCTTGCTTTTTACTTATAATTCAAAGAGGAATGCTTCTTTTATCATTGACTAGTTGCCAATTATGTGTAGTTGTGTGCAAAATTTGTTGGTTTACAGGCATTTGCTCTGCGATATAAGTATTTGATAGAAGATATAATTTGCCCAATAGTGCAACAGATTCTGAAGCTTGGTTCCGCAAAAGCTTCGAGGTGAGAGTTATGGTGTTTTGATGTGATAAGTTTCAGTTGTTTTTCCTCATCTGCAACGGTTTTGAGATGGAACTTCCTTAGCTAGATACTTTATTGATTGTTTTCTCTTATAGAAGGATGCATATTACATGCTCTGTTATGCGCTATGATGTTGTGAATCTTAAAGATTATTTCCTATTGCAGGCCTCTAAAAAAGGTGCCTTTTGTGTAGAATAATCTAAGAAATTATTGTTAATGACACTAATGAAAGGACAAAAAACTGGCTTCTTAGATTAAATATATGAATGCTAGACCTTGGAAAACTAGACTGCTTAAGTTGTGAATCAAACTTACGAATGGATGTGTCATTGTTGTAAGGTTGAATTGTGATTGTGTCAATGATATGAAGATGCTGTGTGAAAAATATGTGCTTTGTACTAACATTCTTAGGTACCTACCATATGAAATGCTATTTATGTCCCTTTTGTGGTTTGGGTTGGGGGAGTGTGTAATGAGCTGAAGATACTTTTGATATTGGAATTTTCTGAAGGTTGTGAAGTTTCTAACCACTCAAGAAGTTGAATTGTTTTGGTTAATTCTTTATGAAGCATACGTTGAAAATACTTTCTGCATTTGCTGCTACTGCCAGAGGAAATATAGTGAATATTCCCATGAAGAAATCTGCTTCATACCTAGAATATAGCTTTTGCGTTTTGGTTCACTTGGCAGTTATCTAGTTGTCTGAGTCAAATAATCTAAACTTCTATAGCAATTCATGTTGTGGTTTTCTTAGGCCTAGTTCATGTGTTGCAGCAAATAATCACCAGTCTGAGGGATGCAAATTCAGGCAGTTCTTTCTCATTGGAACGATGCTGCATGGTGGAACTCACCATAGTTGTTGGCTAGAATGAATGGGGCTCTAGATCAATTTATATGTGATTAATGTTGTGTTGAAAGTTGAAACTACACTTCCCTTTCCTTTGATTAAGATGCGATCATGTTAAAATTTTGATTTTTGGAAAGCATTAAATGTCATGAATGATCCTAAAATATAGGGAAATATTCAAAACGAAAATTTTTAAAGTGGTACTTAGATTATAAATTTATTAATTAATATGATATTTATTTTTTAATGTGATTACTATCAACCAATGATAATTAGTATTTAAACAATCTCTTAAATATTATATTAATTAATAAATTTATAATTCAAATGTCACCTTAAAGCTTTTTAAAAGTTAAGTTTTCATTAAATATTTTATTATAATTCAAATTTCATTCGTGTCATTAACTATTTTGGAAATTTGAAAGTCTTAAAGGTGATCTAATACAAAAGGAAATATCAGTAACTTCACATTGAAATGTTCTTGTAGCGGAATAAGTGACGGTCTACTTGGTTAGAGGGAAGTCTAAGTTTGTTTCCTTGAAATTTAAAGGCAAAATCATTTTTCCCCTCATTTGAAAGTTAAAAAGTGGGTCAGGAAGTGCACTCTGAGGGAGAGGGAGAGGAGATTGTTCGCTTATGTTTTTCGCCCCCAAAATTAGAAATGGTAACAGGTTGAGTTGGGCTTTCATTCTCGGCGATTTCATTCCTACTCTTAAATTATTTTATCTGGCATTGGATTATTATCAAATATTCGATTTTTATTTGACATATAATTATATATACGCATACATAATTTATATTTTATTTGGAATTAATTTAATAAAATATTTATAAAAATATTATTTTTAGTATAAATTATATTTTAAATTAAAATATTAAAAAATAATTTTATTAATATATATAAATATAAAATTAAATAAATAATAAAAAATGTATTTTTTATTATATTGGACGAATCAAGATGGAATATTTTTTAAACCCACCTTTACGTATCGAAATACATTAAATACCTATTGTCAAAACACATGCCATCCCTTCTCTCTTTTCTTTATTTTTGTCTCAACCAAACCAACTCAGCCTTTCATTTATTAACCCAACATATTTCCTTCAACACATCTCTTTCTTGTGAAGCATTTTCTTGACAGTTTGGGTGTATCTCTACTCAAAGACATAATAGGGTTTAATAAAAAAAATTAAAAAAAAAAAAAGGCTCACCTGAGAATGTCAGGGGTTTTGCCTGAGAAACCGGACTTTTATCATCAGTATCTGAATTATGAGTCAGTGATAAGCAGAGTGTTTCAAAATCACAGCAAATCTTTTTAATTATTGCTATAGTTACTCAGCAAACTTATCAAATTTCTTCTAATATTATTACAATCATTATTTAATCATTTTTAATTAAAAATTTCACAAATTTTACCCAAAAAATTTATTCTAAATCTTTCCCTCCCAAAACATCCCTTCTTTTGTTTCTTTCTTTTTGGTAAATGACAAGTGGAAATAGAATTGCATCCTTTGTGCAATTTCTGTACGGACAAGTGTGTCACATCATCTGCTCTATAATGAAGAGATTGGCAGTTTGGTCTCAGCTAAGCATATTTGGATTTTTTATGTACTTTTTTTTTTGGCCAATAAGATTTTTTATGTACTTTGTGAATTAAATTTTATGAACTAACCAAACCAATTGGCTAAAGAGTAATTCACCATATTCTTTATTGTAACTTTCATTTGAATGATTAAAAACTTTAGTTTGAGTACTTTATATGACTATCGAATACTACTTAAGACTCCTCATTCATTGTTTATCATCAAGTAGTACGACGAAGCAAGTGATTCTGATTCAGAAAGCTCAAATGATTATTCAGATGATGAAAACAGATTCTTTGATAATTTCTTGGCAATTCAAGATGTCCGAACCATTCTGTCAGCAAAAACCCTTTTGAGTAGAAGTGTAAAACCTTCACTTATTAATTAATAAATCATTGATTTAATTAATTAAAATTTATTTTTAAATTTAATTTTTTTATAATTATTTGTTAAAATTATTTTAAATACATAATTTGTAATTATTTATTTAAATTATTAGATATAATATATTTTATTTTGATTTAAAAAATTAAATAATTTATTTACTCCTAAATATGCTCTAACTTTTAAGCAACTTATCTTTCTTAAATTTTTTATCGATCAAAAAATAAAACCTTCACTCGTTTGAGCACCGAAAAATCTCCCTCAAAATGGGGTTGATTATGAGCATTGGGAACCAAAGAAATTAACATAATCAGACACTAATTAGGGCAGATGAAGTAGAAAAGTGTCCTAATAATTTGACGGATGACAATATCTGGTTAGAGAAGTAAGCCTTAAAAGGGAATTCTCATAGTCCACACAATAGTTCGTTCCATGGTTGTATTTTAACAACCTTAGCCATCTAGCTGTCACGATGTCTTCTTATGAGTCCCCTTTGGCTCTTTTGCCATGTGACTTTGGACCAACTTATGATAAATTCCCTCTGTATACATGCTTTCAATAAATTACTATGCCCATTGTTTTAATTTGAAAAAAAATAAAATAAAAATAATGACTTGATATGAAAAGTGAAATAATAATCTATTAATAAATATTTAATATCCAATATGCATTTATAATCATAAACTTGATATAAAAATACTAAAAATAATGGAAAATAACTATTTACTATTAACTTGATGTGAAAAGATTAAATAATAATTTTTTTCTTGTTTCTTTTTCTCAAATTTCTACCTGTCTCTATATATTCGTATCCAAAGCCCCAAGAAAAACACACTACCAAAAGAAGAAAACAATTCTATAAAAAAAATGCTTCACATTCTGTTTCTTTTCTCCCTCATCCTAACCACCACTCATGTCCTTGCGCAGGACTTTTGCGTTGCAAACCTGAAGGGAGTCCAAACCCCCTCTGGCTATGCTTGCAAAACGGAAGCAAATGTCACATCTAAGGACTTCGTGTTTACTGGCCTAGGCCTGGAAGGAAACACCTCAAACATCATCAAAGCCGCGGTGACCCCTGCATTTGTGGCTCAATATCCAGGGGTGAATGGGCTAGGCATATCTGCTGCACGGTTGGACCTGGCTCCGGGTGGTGTAGTCCCAATGCATACTCACCCTGGTGCGACCGAGCTTTTATACGTAGTGCACGGTCACATCACTGCTGGCTTCATTTCTTCATCCAACAAGGTTTACTTGAGGACACTGAAAAAGGGTGATATTATGGTTTTTCCTCGAGGGTTGTTGCATTTTCAAGTAACTGCTGGTAAAAGACCATCGCTTGCTATAGTTTACTTCAACAGCCCTAACCCCGGTCTCCAGATCCTTGATTTTGCTCTGTTTGCCAATGATTTGCCTTCGGACTTGGTGGAGAAAACCACATTCCTTGATGATGCTCAAGTCAAGAAGCTTAAGGGTGTTCTTGGTGGCACTGGCTAGGCATTTTAAACAACTATCCATTGTTTATTTCTTTAATATTCATGTATTTGTTATTGGTTTGGACTCGTTTGATCCAATTTTTCAGCTTTTTTTTTTATTAATTTTCTAAGGATGTCATTTTATGGTATTCTATGTTAATTTGTGTTTTTCAATTCAAAGCTCTCAACTTCTATTTAAATTGCTAAAGATATCATTTTTATGATAAAATCAAATATTTTAATGCATTAAAACGCCAAAGAGTAACCTAAAACTTAATTAAATTAATTCATACAATTATTTTTAAGAAGTGACATATAACAAATTTATAAATCAAATCAAAACACCTGTAATTTTTTTTTTTATCTTCAAATTGCGATTTTTTCAATATAAAAAGACAAACGGGAAAAAATATATATATCAATATATCATGTTATCAATTATCTGAAAGTTTTTTCATGGAATCATCTCAAAGTTCTTCAATAGTACTCCTATTACAAGAAATTAATTGAACAGGGCAGATTCACAAGTTGATTAATTAGTATAAGAGATAAATGCTTCCTTGAGAAATATAGTATGTAATTCATACTTATAATGAACTTTCTAAGACAATGCATTTTTTTTTTATTCAAATTTAATTCTTTAAATAGAGAATACATATTTTTATTATTGAATGGAATACTCTAATTCATCTTTTAATTCTGAAAAAGAGCCAAAGCTAATTGATAGTGGAATTGGCTACTCTAAAAAAATGATAAAGCTTATCTATTTTTCTATGGATGAGACCTCTTTGCATGTCAACATATCGCTTAGCTAGCTATACATTTTTGTTTTTGGTCACTAGTTATATTTTACATGTTTATAGCTAGTCCCAAAAGCTATAAATATAAATATCTGTTTTTTATTTTTATTTGGTACACAATATTTTTTATATTTTAAACTTAGAAACTCTTTTGCATGTCAACAAACAAAACACACCCATAATTTCATGGTCAAAGTCATTTTTCTTTCTTTATCTTATGCTTTTTTTTTTTTTGAAAGATTTTAATTTCATCATCTTGCTTTATATTTTCTTATACAAAAGAAACATTAGTTTAAGATTACACATGCTAAAATTTAAATTTTAAATTTATTAAATGTCATTTCACAAAATTGATTGAATGAGTCAAGAACCTCGTAATTTATTGGTAAAAAAACCAAAAAAAAAAAAAAAGACTAGATGCCCTAACCAAGTTAAACCTCAAATTTTCATCTAGCTTTATATTTGATTCTATAAGTTTTGCATATTTTCATTTCCTTTACGTTAGTACAAATTCATTGCCCATCGGCCAATCCAAGTTATTATTATCATATTATATATTATTCTCATGCAGTCCTGAGTATATTAGCTTTTTTCGATTGGCAAGTTATCCCAGCACCTTAATGCCAAATTGAAACTCCAAGTCCCAGCCATACCTATGGTATTCTATATTACATTCTAGTTTAATATTGTACACTAAATTAAGCAGAAGAATCGCCTTTCTTTCTCTTTTGTATTTTCCCAATTCCCTCGTCTTGCCTAGCCAATCCCTCAAGTTCACATTGTTTTACTCATTGAATTTCCTCCTGATAAACATTTCAAAAGAAAGCTGCTACTACTAATTAATTTGAATTTGTTTTTTGTAAAAGTAAATTCCCTTATAAAAAAAAATGCAGAACATTGTTTTTATAATCTGGCAGGAAGGTTTACAGATTGAGACTTCAGATATTCTTTACTTGATCACATGTATGACGAACATTAGTGCTTAATCACATTGCAAGCAGTTTCAGGCAGGGTCTCAAAGGACTCAAGCTGCTTTTGAGTTGAGCATCAGACACATCTTGCATATCTTTGTATTTCGGTTGCATAACAAGCAGTGCCACTATGATAATTACAAGTAAGTATAACTGTTAATTGCATATATCAGAGCAAATTTACACATCAGCAGTGACTGGTCTAAATTTTTTTGGGAAATGTTCACTTATAATACATCTATATATATATATATATTATATATATATTTTATTATTATTATTTTCCAATTTTTTGGTGTCCTACTTCAAAGGGTGGCCGGCCTCTGCAAATCAGCTGCTTCTCTAGCATTATTAGACATTTTAATGTTTCATTTTGGTTCTTATTTAAAATACTTTTCAACTCTAACACTTGTTTAACTTCTGCTGTTATTTCTAAAATCTTTTAATTTGCACGTGTTTCGATTTTCAGTTGCAAGTGCTCTGCTCTTCGTAGAGATCAAGGATGCAGCATTTCTGAAAACGTTGTCAGAGGTTATGCTATCACTTTGGCTGAAATGGGAACTCCGGGCAATGGTTGTACTCAGCCTAACCTTTCAGCTTATACTGGTAGGATATGGGAATCGACGGAAATTCAGAGGGAAAAATTTAAGGCTTATTTCAGTCCTTGTTTGGACGATGTACCTGCTTGCAGATTGGTTGGCAACAGTTGCCCTGAGCACTCTGCTTAGGACCAGAAAGGAACAAATTACCAGTCCTCTGGATATATTTTGGGCCCCATTCCTACTCTTGCATCTTGGTGGTCCTGATACCATCACTGCTTACTCCTTGTCAGACAATGAGCTCTGGCTCAGACATTTCTTCGGGTTATGTTTCCAGATTGTAGTAGCTCTCTATGTCTATGTCAAGTTTTGGACCCTAACCGTAACTACGCTCAACTTTTTGGCCATTCCGGTATTCATTGTTGGAATTATCAAGTATGGGGAGAGGGTTCGGGCTCTCTTCAAGGCCAGTAGGACAAGGTTTAGGAAGTCTGTGTTCTCAGGTGCCAAAAGTTTCCAGCTTGAAGTTGACCTTCTCCAGGGGCCTTCAAATGGGGACATGAAGCTGGAGGAATATTTAAATCAGCACCAAATTAAGGACGAATACAGGTATCTTTATCGAGCCTTTCATTTATTCCCGGTGTTCAGGCCCCTATTTGCGGACCTCAAGCTCAGAATTTACAAAAATTTAAGTTACATATTTGAAATGGAGTCCAAAGTGACAGCAGAAGAGGCCTTCAAAATGGTAGAGATTGAACTTGGTTTCTTGTATGATCTCCTCTATACGAAGCTCCCTATAGTTATATCTGGAATGGGTGTAATTCTCCGCTCCATTTGCCTGTCATTCATCGTTTCCACACTGATTGCATTCTTGATCATCGTTGGTAAGCATGGCTACTCGAAAGTTGACATTGGCATATCCTACTTGTTAATGGTTGGGGCTATCTTTCTTGAAATTTATTCAGCCATTCTGCATCTTAGCTCTGACCGAGGAATTCACTGGTTGATTGATCAAGAAAACTGGTTTCTTAAGGCTATTGCTTCCAAGTTAGTTCTTTTGACTAAATCCAAGAAGGGAATTCGATTCATGGCACAGCACAGCCTACTAGATTATTGCCTCCTGCCTAGGAAAATCAAGATTGCTGCAGTTTTAAACATATTTGACTCGGAGGACAAATTGGAAAAGTACTTCCATACCAGTTGGAAGGATGTGAATCCTGATTTGAAAGAAATCATCTACTCTCATCTCCTGGAAAAACGAAAGATATATCAAAATGCAGGTTTCAATTCCAAGTGTCTCTCAGAGTTATTGGATGAGAGAGGTTACAATGTGCTTAAAGACAAAGTGGGGTCCACAGCTGACATTGGTTGGAGTTTATCTGATGCAGAATTTACCCACAGTCTCCTCTTATGGCATATTGCTACAGATCTTGTTTACCATGACGATCATCAAAGTTTTCGAGCCGGTAACGTCGGTCCATATTGCCAAATCAGTAAGCTCTTATCCAATTACATGATGTATCTCCTCTTTCTCTGTCCAGCAATGCTTCCTGAAGGTATTGGCAACATAAGGCACCATGAAACCTGCATTGAAGTTAAGAATTTTTTCCTTGAAAGGTCAAAATTCAGAGAAGCCATTAAGGGAATGTTTGGAATTGACATTGAATCTCGATCCTTCTTTATCGAGATGGGGAGTCGGAGGAAGTCAGCATTCTTCGAAGGCTGCCAAATTGCTTACCAATTGCGATATTTGGTGTCAGAGTTTCGATGGGATCACCAAGAAAAATGGGAACTTATTGCTGGAGTGTGGCTAGACATGCTGACTTATGCTGCGAGTCATTGTTCGTGGAAAGAGCATACCAAACAACTTCAGCATGGTGAGGAATTGCTTACCAATGTCGCCCTTCTCATGGCACATCTTGGTTTAAGTAAGAAAATCGAACTGGTGGATTTACCCGAAAGACTTGAGGCAGTTCATTTTAAGCCTAGCTGGTATTGGAATAGGCTTGACCGATTAGCTTATTACTTGGCTTAGCTTATTAATTTGGCTTTCTTTGTCTGTCTTTTCCAATTTCAAATAAGCTTACTTCAAAGAATTTATGTATCCAATTCTACTATTAACTGTCAGAGGTAATTTTTTTAATTTATATCTAATGTATTGTTCATATATAAATATTATATACTTTTTGATTAATTGATTGATAGTATATAAATATAAATTTTTTTTCATAAAAAGGATATAAACTTTTTTTTTTCATTTTAATTATAAATAATTTGAATAAACAGGATTTGGGCTTATCAACTATTTGAGACTTAGGGAGGGTAGTTGAAAATCTTAAACATAAGATTGCAATGGCACATCTGATCGGAGAATTGTATAACAAATGAATAAATCCAGGGACTAAAAACAAGAAAAGCCTCCAATGATGAATGGCATTGCCAAAGCCAAAACATAAAAAAGAACAAACCCACATTTTATAATCAGCAAAAACAGAGTTTGCCGTCTCTCAATCCCCTAAACTTCAAGTCATCTGTAGATCTCAGCCACGATGACATCCAAGATAATAAGTTAATACCTAAAACCTGAAACAGACAAAAAGATTCTATCATTTTTCTAACAGGTTTAAAGAAATGGAAATCTTAATAAAAACATCACATCTTCCAAACAAACAGCACACCAACAGTTTCAATATTCCCTTTACTGTCTACTACCAAGCTGCATCACCGTCCAAAACATTATTTTATGTTTTAACAACCCCAAGCACTGCCCTCTCTTTCCTTTGGTCAATGATCAAACAACTCCATATTTCACTGTTTCCAAAATTAGAGTTTTCAATCAAGAATCATGAGACTTGAAGAAGCTGAACCAAATCCAACCCCGGATCACATCTTGGATTGGCTCGAGGACTCGGTATCATTCCTTCCTTCTTTCTTGGATGATCCGTACAACTCAGGCCACATCAATAGCTACCAATGGTGGGATCAGAATGAAGATATAGGTCAAGATTTGATTAACATAGGCGCTACTGCCACTTCTGTCAATAGCCCCGCAATTGTTGCTGCTGAAAATACTATTAACAGTGGCCTGGTGGAGTCTAATTCTACCATTTCTAATCCTCCCTTGCCATCCAATTCATGCAAGCGAAGGAAACCCTATGATGACCTGGTTCCAAGGACATCCCAGACTCAACAACACAAAAGGAATCAGAGCAGTAAGATCAACGAAAACGAAGATGGAAAGGCAGTAGTTGAAGAGGTAGTGGCAAATAAAAGGTCAACAGGAAACAAGAAAAATTCAAACAAGTCTTCAGGAAATAACTGTAATAACAGTAATAACAAGGAAGGAAGATGGGCAGAACAGTTGCTAAACCCTTGTGCCACGGCCATAACAGCCGGAAACCTGACGCGCGTGCAACATCTGTTGTATGTTCTCAACGAGCTCGCCTCATCCACCGGCGATGCCAACCATCGCCTTGCAGATCATGGCCTACGAGCCCTGACTCACCACCTATCCTCCTCCTCTGCTTCCACAGGGCCTGTTACTTTTGCTTCCACGGAGCCTAAGTTCTTTCAACGATCTTTACTCAAATTCTATGAGGTTAGTCCTTGGTTTGCATTCCCAAATAACATAGCAAACGCTTCCATACTCCAAATTCTTGCTCAAGAACCTGATAAGACTCGTAATCTCCATATTCTTGATATTGGAGTATCTCATGGTGTTCAATGGCCTACGCTTCTTGAGGCCTTGACTCGCCGCTCTGGAGGGCCTCCTCCTCTGGTTCGCATCACAGTTGTTGCAGCCACAGCGGAAAACAATCAAATCATAGACACCCCATTTTGTATCGGTCCACCAGGTCACGATTTCTATTCTCGACTTCCTAGTTTCGCTAACTCCATGAACATCAACTTGCAAATAAATAGACTAGAGAACCACCCATTACAAAACCTGACCGCACAAACTATTGACAACTCCCCTGGAGAGACTTTAATTGTTTGCGCGCAATTCAGACTGCATCATCTAAATCACAAAACGCCTGATCAAAGAACAGAGTTCTTGAAAGTACTGAGAAGTTTAGAGCCAAAAGGGGTGATTCTGAGCGAGAACAACACGGAGTGTAGCTGCAGCAACTGTGGAGATTTCGCTACAGGATTCTCACGCAGAGTGGAGTCCCTATGGAGGTTTTTGGACTCAACAAGCTCAGCATTTAAAGGACGAGAGAGTGAAGAAAGAAGAGTGATGGAAGGAGAGGCGGCAAAGGCATTAACAAACCAAGCAGAGATGAATGAAGGGAAAGAGAAATGGTGTGAGAGGATGCGAGGTGCGGGGTTTGTGGGAGAAACATTCGGAGAGGATGCCATAGATGGAGCTCGAGCATTATTGAGGAAATATGATAGCAATTGGGAGATGAGAGCTGAAGAGAAAGAAGGTTGTGTGGGATTGTGGTGGAAAGGGCAGCCTGTATCTTTTTGTTCGTTGTGGAAGCTAAGTAGCAAGGACGAGGAGAGTTAAAAGCAGTTGTAGAATTTCTTTGAAGTCTAATAATCCCTGCTACGTACATTCTTAAAGCGTAAAATTGTGTGTGACGAATGGTTTAGATAAAGAAATTCGAACAATAAGTTGAAGCTTAGTTCAATTAATTTCATGTATTCATGTGGCATTCAACAAGTTTTCAGTACTTAAAATTTTTTTTTCTTATTCTCAAACTATGGTTTCTTTTGCACCTAAAAGAATGGTTTGCAGTCTAGTGTTCGATCAGTTTTGACATATGGACAACACCGCAATTCTTTTTACTACTTTCCATCTCTCAAAATTTCCATCTCCGCACAAAAATCTGGGTATCTGCATCGAAACTCAACAGCTTGCTCTAGTTAACCGTTCATTGAATTCTTTTTTCCTTTTTTTATTTTTAAAGCATTCGGAAGCATAGGCAAACAAGTGGGCCGCCGTCGCAAAGATCACTCACATGTTTGTCGTCAGGAGTTAATTCAAGCAGAAGCAGCAGCTGTGGGGGTAACAATGAGATAGAAGGTACACTCAGAAGTGGCAGCATGTTTTGATTGAATCTGAGATAGAATCAAGTTTTGCAAATATTCCAATTAACAGCATATCCAATTTCTTAAAATAAGGTTGTACCAATCATTTCAAGAATAAACAGTTAAATATTTTCTACTAAAAACTATATATAACAAAGCATGTCTTTTGACAATTAGTATTCAAAGAGTATCAAGAATAAAAAATATAATTATTAATCCAGGTATGATTTCTACAAATTTGGACTTTAAATCCAATCAAATTCAATTTCTGTGAAAATTTGCTCTTCAGATTGGCAGGTTAATAAACAATTCATTACTTGATTTTACAGCTCAATCTCCTTCTCTTAATTGAATTTTTGTCAAGGTAAAGGTATGAACAGATAATCAATCAGCTCCATACTCGAAGGAAAGTTATCGATCAAGAGATGCCTAAGAAAATGTATACAAAAGTTCTGAAATGCTCCCTCAAGCAAAGCTGAATACCATATTGTAATCCTTACCTTGCCAAACAAACTAACAGAAACTCATAGCCAAGCAAATAAGAACAAACATTGACAGCTTAGCCAACATCCGTGATAGTACCACACAACGAATCCAGGTAGCAGCATACAAATATTCATTACTTGGCTACTCTTCATTCCATCTAAATGACATTTCATCATATTATCATATTCTTTCATCCAAATGGTAAACTAATAACTCAATTGAAGAACTCTAGCACCAATTTCAAAGCTCTAAAAGTCAATTACAGGCATAGGTTAGAAAATGGAATTCACATTTTGCTTCAATCCTTCACTAGGCATATACACAAACTTAGTTCTGAGTATCTACATAAGGTGGAGAGAATGAAATTAAATTCATAATCAGAAATTAACATGGTTGGAAGTTCCCCCCCCCCCCCCACAAAAAAAAAAAGGATTAAGCACAAGAACTCTAGTTTGACTTAATTCCGTTTATGTCACCCTAACCAAGCTATGCAGCTTAAGTCCACTCCAAACGACTCCAATCCCATTCAATGCTATTGAAAATTGTTAGAAATGCTATAGTTATGGATTTAACTGCAGGAAATGCTTTAGAACTATACATGAAGCTTTTTGATGTCACCCTGATGTCAATATCTTGTACCATGACTAAAAAGGTTCAATAAAGTAACCATTCTCTCCTTAATTAAGATGCATATATTCGCACTGAACTACGGATTGCCATGCGGCAAACAGGGCATTTTGGCACCAGCTCCCGTTCAACTGATACAGCACAACGTTGGCAACAAACCAGGTGCCCACACGGAATAAATGCAGACCGTCTTCTCCTCATCAAGCAGATCACACACAACTCTCCATCTGGAACATCACCTGCCTCCTCATCTGATGCAATCTCAGAAGTGGCGTCATCAGTGGCAGCATGGGTTGATTGCCGAAACCGTCTTAGCCTCCACTCTTTCCATTTATTCCAGTTCCTGAAGACAATTCATTAACCAAATTATGTTTATCGTTAACAAAGTGACCAAGGCAATTGTGTATTCAAGAGGTTAAGAAAAGAATGTGTATAACTGCACTATATTTGAAATAGTCTACAGGTTTATATAGGAGATAAATCGAAGAATGAACCTTTCAGCAGTAGGAGAAAGAAAAAAACAATCATTAGACTAAAACAAATACCTCACAAAAGCATAGCCAAGGATACCAATGGACAGCGAACCAAGAACGATACTACTCCACAATAGTATTTTTGTCTTGAAGGCAAGATCTAACAACATCTGATCCTTTGTCATGTCAGAACTGCAGTTGCATGCATGAAGAGGTTTGTAAGATATATGTTTGAAACAAGAGATATAAATTTAAGGTTAGTCTAAGCTATGGCCATTTTTAAAGTCATTGTTCTTTTTATTCTTGCTAGTAAATAATAAAACTTAGAATGCAACATAAGACTTGGAGAAAAATGAAGCAACTAAATTAGTACTAAAGGTATCAAGAAAGTGCTAATAAAAAACAGAAAAATAAAAATTCAAGGCAAAGCTAGGCTTTCTAATTTCACATTACAAGCATGAAAATTTGAACAAGCCAAGTCCAAATAACAAACAAAAGGTTTTAGGCACAGCTAGCTTTTGGATTTCACATTAGAAGCATGAAAATTTGCAAGTTCAAAAAGTAGATAAGAAGCTAGCAATGTGCTGTCTATAGCAAAATCACTTACAGAAAATAAGGAAGCTCCTTGCATGACTTGATTTCAGGCACTCCATTATTGAAACCACAAATGCCAACAGCACTGATTTCCTTTCCCAAGGGAAGAATTTTCTCTTCATCAAGAAGACCAACCTTAAAAACAGATAAAATTATTATTTTAACACAGGTGAGCATGTCTATATGACAAATGATGCAACACCAAACTCAATAAGAAATGTAAATTGTTAGCTTCAAATATGTAATTCAAATTTTAATTTTTCTTAGCTCACAGGGTATTCATGACCAAACAAAGCCTGAAGGAATGTATAAGCAGAAGCATTGATAGGCTGCAATTGATGATAAACTGTAGTAAGAGGCAAGGAATGCCTTGAGCCATCCATGTTCACTATGACACAATCAGATTGCGGCCACTGACCACCTTGAACCAGAATGAAAGGAACCTGCAAAACAGTAAAACCATAAGAGGTCCAAAAAGAATATTACTATAACAAGAACAGAACAAAATTCCAATTCTAGCACATAATAAACACACAAAATGAAATAGTTCTACTTGAAAGCATTACACAACTAAATCAATTAAGCATAAAAAAAATTCTCTTTTTTTCAAATTTAAAAGAAAAAATGAAAAATTTTTAACTTACTGTTCTCATTGAAGTTATCTCTTTTTTATTCCAAGATCTTCCAATAATAGCCCGTAAATCAGAAGTCCATCCAAAAAGACCCCTCCATTCATGGTAAATATACTTCATATAAAAAAAAAAAACTAATCAAAATTAAAACTTTAAAAATCAAATTCTATAAAAATAGTTTTTTGTTTGTGTCCGTACAGTTTGTGTTCTTTGGATAACAACAGCTTTATCACCGGACTCTTGAGAGACGAGCACGTCATTCTTGAGGCTCTTCCAGCTCCGTCCATCGGCCGCCGATCTCGCATCGACAGCGCCGCGAATTATGACGACAGGTTCTTCCGTGGAATCGGACTTGTCCTCTTCGACGAGGCAACGGAGGTCGGCCACGCGGAGGGACGGCGCACCTCTAATTTTTCGGAGGGCGGTGGAGGTTGATTTGAATCGGAAGATTGTACGCAAGGCGGCGTAGGCTAGGGCTGCACCTAAAATGGCGCCGTCGAAGGAGAGGGCTAGTTGTGAGATCAAGGACGCTAGGGCTTGTTCATGCGAGGACATATTCGTAATTTTCTGTTTATTGTTTTTCTTCTACATTGGAGGTCAAGTGATAGGGCTCCGGACTGAGGCGATCTTAATGAGGAGAGAGTCCGATCAAGCGCGTGAGAGTTAGAGAGGAGGCTGAGTGCCCTCTCGCCGGCGCTTTTTGCTTTTATGGTGGGGTAGTTGGTGAATATGAGTTAGAATTGAGGGTTTTCTAGTCAATTAATTAATAATCACGAGGCTCTGGTGACATGGCGGTTTTCCATCGAGAGATTTTTATATAAGGGTCAGTAAGTCGGATTTTTCTCTGACAAAAATTTAAAAATTAAAATTTTGTTTGATATATAAGATAATAGATAGAATATTATGATAATTATTTTATATTATATTTAATTTATATCAAAGGAAATGAATAAAATTATAAAAAAGTTATCTTTCTCTTATTATAAAATAATTAAATCTTTTTAAAGTAAAAAAAATTATTTTTAATTTATGAGATTAAGTTTACATATTTTATTATATTTTAAAAATTATATCAATAATTTAAATTGTATAAACTTTAAAAAAATAATTTTAATGAATAAATAAATTATCTTATTTTAATATTTATACACATCAAATATTAAATAAGATAATATTATTTAATCTAATTTTTTTATAATATTATCTTATTCTAATCTATTATAATCTTTATACCAAACATGACTTAAATTACTAGTAGTAAGAATTTTGGTCATATTTGATATATAGGATTATTGATAGAATATAATGATAATAATTTTATATTATGTTTGATTTATATATAAAATAAAGAATAGATATTGTAAGGAGGATTAATATCCTTTTGGTATATATAGAATTATTCAATCATCTCAAAGTAAAAATAATTATCTTTAATCAATGGGATCAAACTTATATGTCTAATTATATCATTAAAAAGTATATCAATAATTTAAATTGTATACATTTTAGTGAAGGATAATTTTGACAAATAAATAAATTATACTATCATAATCTTTACATATATCAAATATAATATAAAATAAGATAATATTATTTAATATAATCATATTTATAATATCATTTTTATTATATCATAACATAATCTTGTGTATCAAATATGACTTTTATATTTATCAAATTAAGTTATTTAGTTATTTATTTATTTTTTGCTATTACTATCTTTTTGTTAAATGGTGCTAGTTGCACCTAAAAAAATTTTCAATACACCCAAAAAATTTACCTTTAATAAAATTACTTGAATACCTATTAGTCAATTATTTTTTTGTCCTTCACACCTCTTTCTTATTTTCTGTAAGTTTAAAAATTCATTTCTAGAAAAAATAGTTATTCATCATAAATTAATTTTCAAAAATGAACAAAAGTTATCGAAAATTTATTTTTGAAAACCTTTTTAATGTATCAAAAATTTAATTTCGAAAACTTTTTCATGTAACAGAAAATGCATTTCTATAAAGTATTACAATTATCCGAAAATGTATTTTTGGAAGTAATTTTTTACTTCAGTTTCTTCATTGCATTAGCTACAAGGTGATAGATTTCAATCTTTTCATTAGTATTTGACATGAGAACATTGGATGTCCCTTGTTGCTATCTCAAAACGAGTCTTTGATGATTTTTTTAAGTATGGGCTATTTAAATCCAACAGTAGAGACATGTAATCTTTCAACTGTACTGTTTGTTTAATAATGTTTGTAATATTTTTTCAATTATAACAAACATGCTTATGAGAGAAATCATTAATTATGAAGAGATGTTCATATAAGTTGGCTGCTGCACCATGTGTGATAAGTGTGACTGTCTTATTATTCATGGTGTAACAACTAATTTGTACGAGCATCTTTTTACACTTAACGATTCCTCTCAAATGCACATTTGTTAAAATTACAAAAATATTACAAACTTTATTGAATGAACAATCCCTAGTGACCGAAAGATTATAAGTCCTTATGTAGGATTTGTTAGTCTGCTGATGACATTATTAGCATCAATATTTCTTACAGTATCAAGTTATTGTATACCGAAAATTTATTTTCGAAAACCATTGAAAAATCCAAAAATCCACTTCCAGAAATTCTTAAAATTTTTTCAAATTTTTTGAAAATGAATGTTTGGAAGCTTTTTAAAGGATTCCAAAAATGAATTTTCGAAAAATCTTGAATGATTGCAAACATCCATTTCCAAAAACCTTCAATAATTTTTGAAAATTCATTTTTGAAATATTCAAATCACACCACAAATCACATTCCAAAACTTAAACTCCTAAATCTTACGAAATTAAACATAAAATTAAATGAAAAAGCAAAAAAAAAAAAAGTTACCTCTGGTTCTAAGTTATATAATGTCAAATGAGTGATTATGGCTTGATTTTAGGCTTAATCCTTTTAGGTTTTTAAGGTTTTCAATTGAAGGAGATGGGATGAGAGGAAAAATTGAAGGAGATGGGATGAGAGGAAATGACGTGTTTGAATTTTTAATAAATTTGTATTTTGAATTTGGGGTGTGTTAAGTAAAAAATTTGCTGTTAATAATAATAGGGTGTAAAAAAAAAAAGTTGGAGTGTAAATAACACCACTTCTTATTATTAGTGTTTAAAAAATAATTACAAGATTAAAAAAACAAAAACTAATATGCATAGCTTTTTTATTTATTATTATTTTTTTGCCAGAACTAATATGCATAGTTTGTTAAGAGAATGTTTTCAAATAAGGTTTTGTTGAAATTATTTCTAAAGTTTAACAATTTCACCTAATTAAATCAAAATGAAATGAAAATTGAATGACAATAATATTAGACTAACTAAATGCAACAGTGTGATTTTACATGCAGCTTCTTAGTTTAGCATAAGATAGACTCAATAGGCTGCACATGCACTTGCCTGCACAAAGTGTTCATCACATGCACAAGTAATAAGTTGCCATTAGAACAAGTCCTCTCCTATGCAATTTCACTCCGATTTTTAGGTTTCCATCCACATGTTGACTAATTAATTGATTCGATCAATTTCATATTAAAAAATTAATAATCAATTTTATTTAATAAATTAATTAATTAATCAGAAATTTTTAAATAATTTACCATAATTAAATTAATTAAAATCAATTTGATTTTATCGATTTTGTTAAATAAATTTTTTAAAATTTTTTATTATAAATAATTATTTAATTATAAATTTAATTTAATAAAATTTAAATTCAAATATTATTTAAATTAAATTATTAAAAATTTAATAATATTAATATTATTTTGTAAAAATAAAAATAAAAATATTCATTTTAACTTTTTTTACTCTTACTTATTAAAAAATTATTAATTCAATCACTTTGATATTCAATTTTAAGAATAAAAAATCATCAATGTAATCAATTTAATCGATGTAAAAATTTTATTTTAAGTAAAATCGAATAGATTGAACCAAATTAATTAATCGGTTTCGATCGATTAAATCCGTTTGAACCTATTTCTGCTCTAACGGTTTTGGAATCTCTCTCTACCTCTGCAGACGAAACTCTTGCAATTTCAGCTCCACTCGGTCTCTTTTGTAAAGGTAACTTCATCAATTTTTTTTCCACCTAGGTTTTTCGAATCCTTTTCTTCTTTGTTTCTTTTTCAGGGATTGGGAACGAACCCGCGATTATTCTAACATTAACTTTCTGGTATGAGTGAGGGCCTGGCTGAGTTAATGGCAGAAGGGGAAGAGGACTTGCCAAGGGATGCCAAGATTGTCAAATCACTGCTGAAATCAATGGGTGCTGAGGAGTATGAACCTCGCGTTATCCATCAGTTTCTTGAGCTGTGTCGTCGATGTATTGACAGATGCACAGGTCTCCTCAGAGCATGGCGAGAAGCAAACCATCGACTGCGTGATGTCAAGCTTGCTATTCCATCCAAACTCAATTTCAGCTTTTCACAACCCCCGCCCAGAGAGGTCATTTTGCACAAAATAGTTTTAATTTTATGGCTTGTTCTACTGAAGTAATATATTACTACAGATTGTGAAAAGTATTTGATCTTCTCGCTCTTGCTAGGTGCTCCTGGAGTTTGCAAGAAATAGGAACAAAGTTCCATTGCCAAAGGCAATTCCGGGACCTGGTGTCCCCCTCCCCACCAGAGCAGGATACGTTGATCAGCACAAATTATCAATTTGCTGTCCCGAAGAAGTAACCTGCTCAGGCAATGGAAGAGACAGAAGATGATGAAGAAAGTGTTGAACCTAATCCATTGCAGGAGCACGAGACAGATATGCCACAGCAAACAGCTCAAACTGTATCATTTCCCCTCATTAAGCGCTCAAAGTGAGGATTCTTTTTCTTAGATTTGTAAGATGTTTCAGCAACCCATTTATGTAGGATATGCATTTTATCAAAGAAATGGAGAAAAAGAAGGTTGATGTCTTTTGTTATCATTTTTGTATATAATGGATCACTATAATCGTATCAAAATTCTGCTTTCGGTGTTCGAGTGTTAATGTTATTTATTCCTAATTCGATTCTTGATATGATCTGAATATGGCTTTGAAAGCTGAGGTGCAATATTATCGAGAAGGTTTGAGCAATTAAGACGTTTGAAGAACATCAAAACGAGACCAAAAATCTTAAACAAGCTTTTAACGAAAGGTCTTTGCCAGACACAAAATATATCTACTCCTTTTCCTGTTGCTTTCTTCATGTGAGATTCGAATCCTAATCCCGAAATAACCATCAGCTAAACGGGAATTTTGCTGTTTAACATGGACGAAATATAAGCTGATTTGGGATTATGTTAATCTAACATACAATTGCATTAATAGTGGAAATAATGAGAAATTCAATCGTTTAATTCTTTGTTGAATCCTGTTAGTCAATGTTTCCTAGTAACAGAACCATATATCGCTTGTTCTGTACAAATATTTTGCCATTTACATACAAGAAAACCCATTGCTTTCCCTTTTTTCTCTTTTTTGGGTTTAGCGTAAAGAAACAATTAAAACAGGGTCAACTTCTTGTGGCAACCATACTACTAGCTGGAGGGCCAGCACTGGAAACTGGGAGACCTCGGTTATACATGCGCTGTATCTCTTCCCTGTACTCTGTCAAAGACTTGTCAGGAATGGCTGGTGTTAGCTCCACCACATCACCCATCTTCAGCCGGCATGTAGGATCACTCACTGGCTCATGGTTCAGCCTTGGCCTCAATTCTTCCTTGACAGGAAACCCATATGGAGAGCATCTTGAGTTTCCCCGCCCGGCTCTTTCCAGCAAATCCATCAATGTTGAGTTTGCAGGAAACTCTTGCACCGACATCTGCAACATTCAAGAACCATAGATATTTAGACCAAACTTCCAATTAATTCATCAACATCAAATATAAAAGATGTAGGGAATGTTGCTGCATGAATTTTTCTTTCTGTTGTAAAATGAGACCCTCCAAAGCACAGAAATTTCATTTGCATGGATTCACCCTCCAAAGCTCATTGTAGCAGAGGCTCAATTCCCATGTTTACTTGAAAGCATGGATTCACTTCATATTTTTCTTCCATTTGATTGGATTGATGACATTTAAGTATGTGGCACACAATGGCCATGCCACCATGAAAGAAATGAAGCTTCATTTAAGAAACATACCTTATCATTTTCAATCATGATGACAAAGACAGGTCCATCCTGGCGGCAGTGAAGCTTATAAGAAAACGGGCATTCATCAGAATGAGTAGGAAATGTGCAGGGTGGTTTGACTGAATCACTATAGCCAATTGAAGATTGGTCCTTGCTCATGGTTTCACAGTGCCAAGTCACAACCCATCGAGCCCACTCAACCATCTGAAGTATAAATGAGGAGTGCTTACAGTCACCCTCCTTATATCTCCAATGAGCTGCAAATCCAAATTCAGCTTGCAAATGCATCTCCTTTGTTCGAATTTGAACTTCCAGTGGAACCGTGCCTTCACCCATCACTACTGTGTGCAAGGACTGATACCTGCAGATTAAAAGGAAGTTAGAAGGAACTTCTGCATGTTTAGATTCCATCTAAGAACAAACCAAAGCGTATTAAGCTATAACATACCCATTAAATTTAGGGTGTGTTATATAGTCTTTCAGCTTTCCAGGTACTTCAGACCATAACTGGTGGACTATTCTCAATGCCTCATAACAGTCTTCCTCATTTTCAACAATGACACGTAGTCCATGAATATCATGAATTTCATCCATAGTCAACTTTTTCCTGAAAAAAAAAATAATATCACATTAACTATGTAATTTTATTAGATTAAATAATATTAATTGTTGACCAAATTGCAGAAAAATGTATCACAAAACACATGCCAAGTCTTTTTTCTGAGAAGAGATAACATTGTCAGATAGTTGGACATGCACACAACAGCATGTGTGTGTGTCTGTGCGTCTGTGGGTCTGTGTGAATGTCACTCAAAGAAAATCATGCTAGGGAGTGAATTGCATGTAAATGAATCTCTCCATGTTCCTCTGCCTGCCGTGGGTGGGTGGGTGTGTGTAAGAGAGAGAGAGAGAGAGATAACATACTTCAACATCTTTAAATAAATGCTATATAAGCCTTTATGTCGTCCAGAGAGGACATAATACGGAATTTCTTTATCCTTAAGAGCTCTCTCAAGTTTCTCTATAGCAGAAGTAATCATCGCCTCATCAAAGGAGTCAACAAGCCTAGAGGACAGTTCCTTGTGCTGATCTGGATTGAGATGCTTGAAACATAGATTCTCTAGTTGCTCTTTCCAACTAGAGATTCCTAATCGATTGGCCAAAGGTGCAAATATTTCCAAAGTTTCCTTAGCAAACCTCTGTTGCTTGAGCAAAGGAAGAGCATCTAAGGTCATCATGTTGTGCAACCGATCTGCCAATTTAATGAGAACAGCTCTTGCATCTGCCATGGCAAGGAACATGGTGTGCAGGCGATCTGCTTCAGCAGTTTTGCTTGCTGTATTATTATCTCGTGCTAGCTTACTCAGTTGGCTAAGCTTGGAGACCTACATAAATGCATAATAGAATAATTAGAACCTTATAATCTCACATCTTTATCCAAAAGAAGTTGATTGATATAATGCAAGAAAATTAAAAGGAACTTAAAACCAACCAAATGGCCGCCATGAAGATGCTACATAGAGTGCTCTAGTTTGGGGAAGCTTATAATAAGATATGTTTATTTTTAACTAGGAAAATGGAGTTCAAACTAAAACAGCAAGTTAATATGTTGATTGAATAACCAAGAGAGGAATCAGAACAACATATACTACAAAGACTATCCAATAACTCATCCACGATCATTTATATACAACAAGCATAATAAAGCTACATCTATTTTCCCAATTCAAATATTGTAATAGTAATCATAAGCATGTCCTACAATGAGAAATTAACTATTATGACATCACAAATACTTCTTTCATTCATGCACCATTGGATCATTTGCTAATTGAATATACCAAAAATTCCATAATTCTTATAAATCTTTTACAAGTTAGGATGATTACATCTGAAAGAAAGCTGCCTAAAATTTCAGACCCCAAAGCAAGTCAAAACAATCTAAATAGTAAAATCATTGTGTTAGAATAGACAACAAGTAAAACATTACACAATAGAAATTCATCTCTCACCCCTTCAACTAAGTCAGCAACCCCAGCACCAAATGCCGTAAAAATATAGTCATAGCTCAAAAATGAATCATCTAGGGTGTCATGTAAAAGCCCTGCAGCAACAACCGTGGAGTTAGCACCAATGGATGCCAACAACACTGCAGTTTCCACACAATGTTGCAAATAAGGATCACCACTTGCACGCATCTACAAGATAAAGAACTTCACATTACCCTTAAAACAATCTGAAACAACCAAAAAATCAAGATCAAAATTAACATTGATTTCTCTGTTAGTACCTGCCCTCTATGCGCCTTCTCGGCTTCATAAAATGCTTTGACTACAAAATCTTCACAAAAAATTTTGTGCCTCATTTGTGCACCTAAAAGCAACTCCTTAGCATAAGGATTCGAATCCACTTCCTCCATGAAGTTATCCTCCATGGTAAACGGCAATTCATCAACACAACCACTACTTTGCGACTCAAAACTCGGAGAATCATAACCAATACAAGACCCTAACGCACCCCTAATGAATCCATTGAACAATCCATTACTACCACCACGAACAATTCTCATCGGAGGGCTACTGCTACTACACGAAACGGGGCCCTGAAAGACCGATACTGGGCTCTGATTGCTTTTTAAAGAAGACCCACCGAATTTACTCGATGAATAACAAAATGAACTGCTTAATTCCTTCAATTCTTCCCCTCTATATGACCCTAAATCTTCTCCTCCATTGCTAGAAAAGCTTGATTTTAACGAAGGTGAGGAGAAGAGGCAGGATAGGCCACCGACAATTGGTCTGTGCGAAGAAGAGGAAGCCGTTGCTGAGGAAGTCGACGATGAAGATCTTGAATTCAAGTCGAAATCGTAGGAACCGTGAGAATTGATATTGATTTGGTGCGGCGTGGAGCACACGCTGCTAGGTGGACTCGCGTAAAGAGCTATTGTTGAAACTACCATGGCTTTCGACCAACCCAGATCGATTCCAAAAAAAAATTTTTTTATTATTAATTAAAAATCAAAACCAAGTATTTTCCTCCAAGGAAACAACGATTTTCTCAGATACGAAACCAACCCACTAATTTTCTCTAGAAAGTAACAAAACCCAGAGTTTTTCTCAGGATCCAAACAGTTTCTTCAATGACACAATGAATTTTTATTTTTCCCTAATAAAAACCCAATAAATTTCTCTTAAAAAACCCAACAAGGGGTTTTTTGCCATCAAAAACCAATGAATTATATTAGAAGAGACCCAATTGGGATCTCAAGAGTAAGACTTAAAAAGCAAAGCAATTTCTTTGATTCTAAACATTATTTATATACATACAAAAGAGAAAAACCAAGGAATGGAAAGGAAGAATTTGTTTGAAGAGAATAAATTTTGAACAACAGTATTTACAAATATATAGAAAATTTTTCTACTCGGAAATTGACAATTTAAAAAACATGAGAAAATATTTCAATTTTTTTCCTCTTTTCTGAAAAGGGGAAGTCAAATACGCTTGCGATTGTTGAATTGAAAGCTTGAAAGAGAGAGCTTTCCTTTCTTCTTCTTTGCTTTTTTTTTTTGTTTTTTTTTTGAGAACTCTTCTTATTTTCTTTTCTCTATAAAGTTTTTTATTATGGAAAATTGCTTCGCGGACACGGAAAGGAACAGTTAAATTACAGAGGCATCCTTGGGGATTAACGGTATTAACTGAATTGGACAACTCGAACTTTGCTTTTCGTTTTGGATATTCGAGTAAATTTATCTGTTAATGGATTTTTCTTTTTTGCCAATGCTGTTTTATGAATTTTTAATTACTCAAAAATAATAAACAAAACCTTTTTATATTTAAATGACATATTTTATATTTTTAAAAGTTTTATTTATGTTCTTAAATTTTAAAAAAATGAATTTTTTATTTGCATTTCTTCTCTTCTATGGAAGTCTTATTTTTTCAAAATATTTTAATTTTGACTTAATTCTTCTTTTAATGATAGATTCAACCTTGGGAAAAAAATTACCAATAGTACATAATTTCTAACGTGTATGTAATCTAAAACAAAGTCAAGTGTTGTTGCTTTACAAGAAAAGCAAAGCGAAGATTGTAGAACTTGTCAATAATAATATGCTCACATGATTAATGTAGTTGCTTTTGGCGCACAACAACTTGGAGTGGGGTCCATTTTATTGATTTTTTGTTATGGGAATCGTTGTCGTGGTGCATGAATCTCTTTAAGGATGAGAGGATTCAAATTGGATCTTTTGTAATTTAGTATGACCTCATATTTCATAGTTGTTAATAACAAAATAAATTAAAATTCTCAATACTTTTAGCAATCGTTAATGTTTGTACGTTAGGATGGTTAAAAATTAATAGAAATTATTTATAAAATTTAATTTAATAAATTTATATAATTATTTTTTAAAAAAATATTCATTAATATTTAAATTTTAATATTTATAATTTTTTATCCTGAATTTTTATTATAAAAAAGTTATACCATAAAATGTAAACTAATTAAAAACTAAAATTCCAACAATGATCATTTTTAATTTAAAAAAGTAGAAATATATATAACTCATATAAATAAATTTTAAAAATTGATGAATATATCATTAAAATATATTTTTAAAATTCATAAATTAATTTAATAAATAAAAATTTTCAATAATATCTAATTTTATTTGTGGAAATTAAAATTTTTATTAATGATATATGAAATAATGATTTTACAAAATAAAAAAATATACTCTTACAAATAAAATAATTAATGATATTAAAAAAAAAGGGGCAGAATGGGAATTTTTTAGTAGGTGATGGAGCTGACGGTGATAATTCCCTCCGCCTTCCTAGAAGCTCTAGAAGACACTGAAGTCCACGATAAGGACTTCGCTCTTTCCCACACACTATTTCCTTTGAATTGCACATTTCTTTCTTTGCGTTGTTTTTTTGTGCCAAAAACATAGTTTCGGGACAGTCCGTTGGCGGCACGTGGCGTGTCACCAACAGCAGCCGAGGCGAGATGGTCAGCGTAGTTGGCCAACACGTGTTGATTGAGCAGACGGCGGATTTGGTAAGTACGGCTTTGGTTAGGGCACGGTCACGTCCGTGACTGTCTACCTCTCTTCACGTGGTGTCTTGTGTGCGACTCAGCTCCTCGAATTTGGCGGCTTTCGTCTAGGGTCTGGATCTTGTGTGGGCGGTTTCAAAGTTGGAGCAATCACGGACTGCTAATTTGTTGTTGTTGGGCTTTCGTGATTGGTTGAGTAGTGAAAACTACCTGTGGTCAAAGTCAAATTGGACGGTAGAATTGCCTACCTACCATGTAGCAATCGATGATCGATGCGCATTCCACTATTTCCAGGGTCAAAGAAGCTTGAAGCTAACACTTTGTTTTTTTTTTTTTGAGAAAGTTAAAAAAGTTAATTTGTGAAATAAAATACATTAGGTGCCAAATAATTAGATGATGTATCCAGGTACTTGATTTTTTTTTCATATTGTGTATTTAGTTTAGTGATTGATGTATGTTTTTTTTTTTAATTTAATTTTTTATCATTTTGATTCTTGTATGTAACTTTTTATTTAAAGTTTGAATCTTTAATCTTTAAAATTAAAAAATATAATGGATTAAAATCAAAATTATCATTATATTATAATTGGATTATGATCCGTATAATATATGAAATAATTTTATTTATTTTATATGTATATATATAAATTCATATTTTTTAATTATATTTAAATCTTCAAAAACTATAGTATATATAAAATTTTACATCGGTCTAACTTCTCATAAAAAATAAATTAAAAAAATGACAAGTTTTTACTTTTCACCATTTGTAATAATATTATATACTTAAATTTTATAGCAAATAAAAATAAAATTACATATATTTCTCAAAAAAAATAAAAACACGTATTATCGAATGATGAATTAAATAATAAAAAAATATTGCATATTTTTATTTTGTAATTTTCTTAAAATTATTGCATAAAATATGAAAAATAATAGGAGATACATGAAAAAAATATTAATTATCATAAAAATAATCTTGCAATAGTAATACAATATATCTTAAAAGAAGAAGGATGTAAGTCGAAAAAATAAATTATAATAACAATAGAATTTCAAAAAGCTATAAATTAAAAAATAAAAAAAGGTAGCAAAATATTATATTTATAGTTTTTAATTTGTAGAATAACTATTTAATGGGAATTATGATTGAATAGATAACTTTCAAATTGATTTTTTTAAATTAAAATGATGTAATAAATGATAAAAATTGAATCAAATTTCTTGTTTATTTTTTAAAATACAAAATTGATAGTTAGAGTTAAGATGGATATTGGTCCTATTATTTAGAGATTTAAAATAAAAAAAAATTATTTGAATTTTTAACATTTTAAGTAAATTTTTGAAAATATAATTGTTATTTTATACAAATTAGGATAAAATAATGTATTGAGTTTTTGAAAGAAAAACTTAATATTTGTAGTTTTAAAACATGTTAAAAGATTTTTATAATTGAAATTTTTATTAAATAAGATTATTTGATAAAAAATTAAAATTATTTGGATAAAAATCATATTTCATATTTTTAATTTTTAAAATATATATCTTTAAATTAATTTAATTTGTAATAATAATTTGAATAATTTTTACATTTGAATAAATTCAAAATTGTTTGATTTGTAATTACAAAAAACCTATACTTTAAAAAGATGTATTTTACATATCATCTAAAAATTTTATTCATATAAACGTTCATGTGACAAATTTTATCAAGTTTTTATATACATTATAATATAACAATAAAGATATATATGATTAGTACTTAATTTTATCACTATATCATTCTTCTAATTTAATATTTTTAGGTCATATTTAATGTATAAGATACGATAAGATAAGATAAAATAATATTATAAATAAAATTATATCAAATAATGTCATATTATTTTATATTTGATGTATGCAAAGATAAGGATATGATAATTTATTTATTTTTTAAAATTATTTTTTCTTAAAATTTATACAATTTAAATTATTAATACAAAATTTAAGAGTATAATTTGACATGCAAGTTTAATATTATGAATTAAAAATAATTATCCTCATTTGAAGAAGATTAAATAATTTTATGTGAAGATGATATTAATCATCTTTACAATTTATATCTCTCTATTTAAATATAAATCAAACATAATATTAATTTTATTTAATGTGTTTTTGAGTTAATAAGATAAAATCCTTTGAAGGTTTCGTCCAACTCGTTAAGGAAAAAATATTTCAAAAGATTAACAGAATTAGGCTCCAAATCCTTCAAATGCTGCAAACGCTCAATAATTATGTAAGGATTAGAAAAAAAAAAAAAATTGTGCAATGAATAATGTGGTTAAACATGAAGGGAAGCTCTTGGCGAGAGTCCATCTATCCTTTTAGCTATTTTCTTATAATTTTTATATCCGAAAATAATTGTATTGCTCGAGTCAAGTATGATATATACTTATCTTTTTAATTTGAAAATAAAATTTAATTAAAATAAATAATGTATCGATAACATTTCTCAAAATTTGTTTAAACCACTCTAATTTTATAAATATATAGTCAAATTAACATGGGATAAAATGTACAAATTTACTTATGAAGTTTTTATTAAATAATAAAATATCTTTTTAAGCTATGAAAATTAGTAGAAAATAAAAAATGGTATTGGGGAGAGATAAAGAGAGGACTTAATGAGTTAATTAGCAAAATATTCCTATAACCAACCCTCTAATAAAAAAGAAAAAGAAAATTACTCATGCATGACACTTTTATATTAAATATTAATATTATTTAAAAAAATTGAATTGGTATATAAATACAATTGATTCATATCAAAATTTACTAATTTAGTTTATCTTTAAAAGTTTGTAGAATTTTATTTTTTTAACATTAATTTTGTATTTTATTTGGTTAGATTTATAAATAAATATTATTATTTTATAAAAATCAAAATAATATAAAATTTTAATAAATATTAATTTGATATGGTTTGACTTATTTTAATTTTTTACTATATAAAACAAAAACTAAATCAAACCGAATAAGATTTCCTGTTATCTAAATGGAAATCAAATTGAGCATAATAGTTCTAATCAATTTTAAAATTTTTCGATTTTTTAATGAAATTGCTTAACATTATGATTTTATGGGCCCTAAAAAAATTGACCCACTCTCCAAAAGTCTCAGCTTTAAATGCTAAAAGGTCCAATAACAAACTTAACTAATGGCTCTAAAACTTTAGGTCCGACCCAACCCAATACTCTCAATCCGTCTACCCTACTCCCTGTTCAACTGTTGTAGATATTTATTAAGCGGCAGATTTATGAGATCGATTATGATAAAATTAAAAAAAATAATAATTATTATTATAATTATGATTAAAAAATTTTATATTAATTAAATTTTATTAAAATTAATATTTATATTTAATTGATGATATCGTGAGTTCAATTACACTGAGAATGAAGTGGAATACAAACCCCCATTTAATTTATTGATTAAATCATTATTTAAAAATTTTTAAGTTACAATTATAATA